ATGGATAATCTTGAGCTAGTTTATTTAAGGTACAATTTATAAAAACAAACAAACAAACAAAAACACCCACTTTCTCTTTCACACTGCTAACACTGAATGGGAATGTGGCTCAGTGATTTAGTGCTTCAGAGTTTAATCCTCAGTCCCAAGAAAAGGGAAAAAAAAAAAAAGAGTTTGGGAAAAAGCAGAGATAAAAACATGGATAATCTTGAGCTAGTTTATTTAAGGTACAATTTATAAAAACAAACAAACAAACAAAAACACCCACTTTCTCTTTCACACTGCTAACACTGGTTTTAAGCTTAACTTCAAAATAAGATAGTAGTAGTTGAAAAGCTCCAGGATCCATCTGACATCCAATTATGTCAAAGTAAAACTACCTCTTACCTTTTCACCTTGCAAACCAGGGGGTCCTATTAATCCAGAAAGGCCTTTATCACCCTATAAACAAAACATGGGGGTTTAATGTCATGAAAGAAAACGGGAAATTAAAACTCTCTTTAATCTTGTACATCAAGGCCTTACGACATTCACTTCTGATCTTCACCATCATGCTCAAGTTTCACCTCATTTCTCAATCCTTTTCCGAGGTTCCTTTACCTCTTGAGCGCAGAACAACTGGATTGCATTTTCCCACCTCTATGCCTTTGCTCCTTTTTCTCTGTTGTTCCTTTTTCTAGAAATGCCCTCACTCCTAAAATTTCCATCATTTAAAAAAAAAAATCTGAAGGCATTTTCTTAAAACCTCTAAGATACTTTGTAAATCAATTTCTTTTTTTCGTTGAAGACCTCAAACACACCTAGAGGTGTGTGGAAAGCCCACTGGGTTCACAGCAGGCACCTAAGAAGGCTTACTTCCGCTTCCGCTTCCGGGGCTGCGGTAGTGTGGGCTCCTCAGATCGGCCCCTGGGGAATCACTACCAAGAATGTTAATTGGGAGGCCGCACTGTTTTGTTGTGACAGACACAACTTGACCAGAATAAACTTCACCAATAAGACCCACCTTCCTAGCACTTCGAGAAGGACCTGCCAGCATGTTTTGAGGGAGAAAGGAGGCAGGTGAGGTTCCTGTCTTTCATAGGAAGCTGTGCGCCAAAAAGAGTTTGGGAGAGGCCCAGGTGGTGGCCCACGTCTATAATCTCAGCATCTTGGGAGGCTGAGGCAGGAGGATGGCGAGTTCAAAGACAACCTCAGCAATTTATTGAAACACTAAGGAACTTACTGAGGTTCTGTGTCTATAAAATACAGAAAAGGGCTGGGGATGTGGACTTCTGAGGCCAATCCCCAGTACCACACACACACAAAAAAAAAGTTTGGGAGAATGCAGAGATAAAAACCATGGATAATCTTGAGCTAGTTTGTTTAAAGTACACTTTATAAAAACAAACAAACAAAAAAACCCCCACCCACTTTCTCTTTTCACACTGCAAGGGATTTATTGCGGGTAGAAAGAGAATGTATTTGAAGTGGGAAAAATAAGGCCAGGGGTGCTGAGGGTGAGCCCCAGGTGCTTACCATGTGTGAGGCCCTGAGTTCAAACCCAACCACCAAATAAATAAATGAGTATTTAGAGAATAATCTTAAGGAAACCCCAAAACAACTGTATGTTCTGTTCAGTCTGTTTATTATGTCGTAAAATTAATCAATCAAAAGAGAAAAGAATGTTTCTTATTAACAACAGGGTGCTTTCCCATTCTAATGCTGCTTCTCACTTGTCTTATGGAAAAGGAACAACCACACCACGTAAAAACTATGTATACATGCCCTTGAGGTCTCAAAGAGCTTAAAAACTTGTGTATAATTTATTATAGATGGTACTTAGAGGAGTTACATGGTAAAGGATGAGCCTGATCCTTACTTCTATTGTTTGATTGTTCACAATAACTTTATTGCAAAAATGGACAAATAATTAAAATATAATTATCCAATACCCCTTTATTTCCACCAATATAAGTTTGATTTTATTTATATTCAGGTTGATGGGTGTTACTAATCTGTTTCCTCAATATATATGAACCCAATTTCATATAAATACAATTCCTAAGAGACTGCATTAAAATTTTACCTTTTTAGAAATACATTTCTCAGTTATAAAGGTTGGATTCTACTTAGAGCTTAATGATAAACTGCTATTAAATTTTATATCTAATTACATTTATTTTATTTAGAATTAACTCCAACTTGTGTATAACTCAAAAGGTTAGAAAAATTCTCAATTTCCATACTGAACCACCTTATATTTTGTACAGAGAAACCACAAAGAAAGATAAAATCAAGTATTTGATAGGAATGTTTACATTTAATCTGGAGGCTTTATTTAAAGCAGTCACCAAAACACAGTGGGCCTTTAATTTCTAAATTTTAAAAAAGAAAGTAAATGCACTATATTTAGATATTTTAAAAAGTAGACATTTATATTTATTTCTCAGATTGCAAGATGTTTTTTCTTGTAGTAATGAAGAGATCAATGAAAATACCATTGCTAGTAATAAACTTTCAGTCCCTTTCTGTTACTTAGACTTAATAAACTCAGTTCCATCATAGTAATAAAATTCCTAAAATTTTAGATTTAAAAGTTTTTGAAGATTTACTTGTAGAGGATTGGAGTATTTATCTTTAGAGTCCACTATTAAGATGTGATTTATTTTTAAAGTTGACAACAGTTTCTGAAGGCCAGTTGAAGATCAAATTTCAGCCCAGAATTACTTAGGGATTTTTAAAGTTTATGAATATATGCCACATAAACAAAAACATCCTACAATTATATCACATGTACCAAGTACTAGTCTAAATAAAACTTCCCAAATGTTCTCCTAAAGACTCCACTTGTATTTACTCTAACTGCAAAACAGCATCCTTTTCCCAATAAAGACTGTGTTGCTGTTTACTTTAGAACATTACTGTTTGTATTTCATGAGTATTATGGTAATATGAAAAGCAGCCTGGATAAGAAATCAGAAAATTTGGACATATCATTAACTGTTGCTTGCTATCCATGTGATGAGCCCCTTAAAATCTATTAATTCTGTTTTCTCAAATAGAAAATAATGATGACTGTTTATTACACAGGGAGTTACTATGGTGCTTACAGAATAAAGTATGTGAAAATATTCTTAAAAATATAAAATGGCATTGGAATTATCTATCATCATGTTCATGTGTAATAATTGCAAAATCTTTGAGGTTAAGACCACATCCTACTCTAATTCTTTTATCCCATGCACCCCTAATTGGTAGGTAGCACAGTGGTAGCCCCAGAGGGCACTAAATAAAATTAATGGTAAGATTTAAATTGGTAAGTTAAACTGATGGGACATAATTTACTTAATTCTTCAAATATTTCTTCCTTCATTAAAATCCAATGGTTTTATGCTGTCTTCTCTGATACAATAAAATCTACATCTTAAGAAGATAAATATGATTTTTAAATAACCAAAACATTTTACTATGATTCTATTTCATGGACAAATAATTACCTTTTCTCCAGAAACAGCTTGACCAGGGGAAAATCCAGGATCTCCTTTGGGGCCCTAGATAAAACAGTTACAAAATACTTGGAAAATCTGAATAATATATAGTATAAAACATATATTCAGTTACCTATCATCGGATTCTATACACATCATATGGTATTAAATGAAATTATTTCAAATTGATGTAGTCATGGATTATTTACTTTTTTTGGCAGTACTAGGGGTTGGAACCCAGGGTCTTGCACATCTAGGCAAGTGCTCTACCATTGAACTACACTCCCAGTCCTTTTCTAAATTTTTTTTTTATTTTGAGACAGGTTCTCACTAAGTTGAGGCTGGCCTCAAGCTTGAAATCCTCCTGCCTCAGCCTGTTGAGTAATGTGATTACAGGTGTATACTAATGTGTCTGGCTACCTTTTTAATGTATAGTTTTATTAATCTTATTTTTAAATGCTGAGAGCTGAGAAGATTGCTAAAAATCCTCTAGAGAGAATTAATTTTAAAAATATAAAGTAATATTACTATTGAAACATTTTTCTTCAGAAAATCTAGGTAAAGGTTTATTATCTCTTTCATTTTTGTGACCCATTGAGTTATCATTCCTATTTTAGCATTGGGAGACTGGTTACTTTAGAAAAGGAAAATTTCTTATAATAATCCTAAAATTTGTTTGAGTATTTGCCAACATTTTGCAATGAAAATGCATCCATCACCTTCATAATAAAGAAAATAGAAATGAGAAATTCTTTCATTCTGTTCCAAAAAATAGATACTTTACATAGTCTGCAAATCTTAATCTTTTACATTTCAAAGAAACATGACATCAAGTTTCAGCCAAAGTTTTTTGACACAATATTAAAACAATCTTTCTTATGATGCTGCCATGGTTTGAATATGGTTTGTCCCCACCAAAATTCATGGTGAGGCTTAATCATAAATGCAACAGATTTGGGAAGTGGGGCCTACTGGGAGGTATTTGGGGAATGGGGGTGAAGACCTCATGAATAGAACAGTGCCATCTCTCTGGAGTGAGCTCTCTTGCTCTCAGCATAACTACATTAATTATTACAATCAAGATGTTATAAAGTAGTTTTCCTTTGTCTCCTAATCCCTTTCACATGTACTTACCAACTTCTGCCAAAATTCCCTCACCAGAAGTCAAACAGATGCTAATGCTGAGAGCTTGGACTTCCCAGCCTCTAGAATCATTTACTATAATAAACTTATTTTCTTCATAAATTATCCAGTCTAAAATATTCTGATATTGCAACCCAAAACAAAGACAGATGCATAGTAGCAAAGAAAGTTTAACTATTTATCACACCTCACAAAATAAAGGTCTAGTAGAGATTCTTCAAAATTCAAATTCTGATATCCTTATCAACTGAGAATAAATAATTCTACATTCCTAGATAGTTCTAAAAATTATTTACTTTAAAGGAAATAAAAAAGGTATCTTCTTTCACATATTCAAAGATGCTTTTAAATGTCATTTAAACTGACGAATGATAGAAGATCAAAAGAAAAGTTTTGAATATTTCACAGTTTTTTCATTGTACAGATTATACATTTATAAACAAAGCAGAAATTTGTCAAAGAGCCCTGTGTTATATAATCAAAAAAAAATTTTAAAACAAAAGTTGTCTTTGAGGTTGATCTCTTTCCTTCCATAGCTATTACCACTTCTACCACTGCAGGCTACTATTTTAGATCATTGATTTTAAGATTATTGACCTCAGAAATTATTTTGGTTATATTTTAATGTTACAAATTCAATTCTTCATCAAAAATATTTTTTGAAAGGTAGTAACATAGGCATTGCAGTGAGAGCACCTGTAGTCCTAGCAGTCAGGAGGCTGAAGCAGAAGTTCAATACCAGCCTAGGCAAGATGATGAGAATCCATCTCAAAAAAAAGTAGCAAGTTTAAAATTCATAAGATATCAGAGCTTATTTAATAAATTGCCTTTTGCAGATAAAGAGAATGAAGTCTAAAAAGGTTAAATCTTATTTATTGGTTGGTAATATATTATAATCTTTATTACAGAATCAAGTGAGTTAATTTGAGGCAATAATTTCCAAATACTTTTTAAAGGATTTAAGAAATTATAGTCCTTGAGAAGTTTAACTATAATAAAATCCTTTGTGACCTATGTTTTTACTTATAAATACCATGTTAATTTTTTTTATAATTGATTCTTTTTACATAGTTTTAATTTGCTGATTTATATCATTATGACCATCTTTTCCTTGAAAATATTTAAATAGTCAATATAAAATATTCAACTGCTAATTTTGACATTTAGGTTCTCTTGAGATATGTTTGTATTGGCCACTTTTTAAACCTCAAATCAGATTTCTCTTTTCTTTTTATGGCTAGAAATTTTTGATTGTATACTATGTATCAGATGTGATATGTTGAAGAAATTTTAGATTTTCTTATCTCCTTTGGATTTTTTCTGTTTTTTAGGCAGTTAAATCCTGAAATATCTCCTTTGAAAAATAGGTTTTGTAATTTTTTTAGGAGGGGCTTCTTTCAGTTTTGCTCTTAGTGTGAGTCCATTAGTCCAAGGATAAGGAATTTAGATAACATGTGACCCTTCCTGAATGTCAGTGAGAAGGTTTACCAAGGCATTTGTCATGTCTCTAAAATGTTTTCCTTGTTGTGATTAGTGGCTAAAGTTAGTTTAATTCTTTCAAACTTTCAATCACTTGTTGCTTTCTGTGAAGCTTCTTGGGGTATCCCTCATGCCGGTACATGTCAGATCATCCAAGAATTAAAGGGAGTCTAATCTGGGTTTTAGGGGAGCTCTTCCATTTTTCTACTTAGATTTTATCATTTTATTCCTCAATTTACAATTATTCTGGCAGTCTGATTCTCTGACTTATCACACCATTTACCAAATGTGTGTGTGTATTTTCTGCCTGAAAAATCATATGAACATCATTTATCATCATTAATAATCACTCACCTTTGGACCTGGTAATCCAGGTAACCCAGGATTTCCATGTGGTCCTGGCATGCCCTGCAAATGTGAAAAAGTCTGTTTATTCTTAGAAATAAATACAGATATAAATTTCAGTGCTTATTCAAATAAACATTAAATAATACAATCTAATCAAATTAATAATCTTTTTTCAAAAATTTTTAACATTATATGAGTAAATTTTTAAAATATATTTTATCTCCTTTATTTGTCACCCCTAAATCCAGCCACAGCATATTGCTTAGCACTTTTAAAGGCTATGGAAAGTAAGAAGTTTCTAACAAAGTACAGTTGTTTAGTTACTCCTCTCAATATGTGCTATCGCTTTCTGAATTTGAGAAATTCAGAATTCATACCAACCTAAATCATTCTTCATGTCTCAATTGATATCCTACTTCATTTAAAAATTCTAGCCACACCAGAATAAAATTATTTATCCTACTAACTTCTATAAAAATTATTGAATGTATAATTCATTTATCAATTAACTATTATATTGCCCTGGTACATCTCTTTTACTTCTCTAATCTGTTATTTAAATATTTTATTGTATTTTGACTGTTTAATGATATGGTATTTAGTTATAAGATTATAAATATTTTTAAAAGAGACTCATTTTTTATTACTAGTATAGTGTCTAACATATGTTAGGTATTATATGAATATTTGTCAATTTGATTATACTTTAATGATAAAATATATGATCTGAACTTAAAAATTGATTTTATTTACTGAGTACCTATATGTGCCAGGAGCTATGTTCATGATTTATACTTCTTGTTACTAATCCCTGTAACAATCCTGCAAGGTAGTCATTTTTATTCCCATTTACAAATAAGGACATTTACATAACCAATAAGTAGAGGAACTGAGAATTATCTCCTGAAATACTCCAAATCTCCAAGTTCCCATACTTACTTGGGTTTTGTACTTAACCTCTGTTCTCTTTAGCCAAACTTATAGTTAATAGTATGTTTAGTAGCCTCTTCAATTCTATATTAATAAAACTATTTCAGAAAGAGGTATCAGCAGTGTAAATATTGACAATATGTCTAACAAAATGAAAACTTAAGAAATAGATTTGATTTCATGATGTTTCATTGATAACCTTTGAAAATTAAATTTTAATGAAGTACATGGGGGAAAAGTATGGGGAGTAATGAATGAATTGTTGATGTAGAAGTACGTGTAACAGGTATAAACTATTATTTCACAAATCTCAGTAATGCAACTGTTAGCAAGGACAGTATTTTAGGAAAAATTAATTTCAATGAAAGTTTAGGATTTTCAAAAGAGGGATAACGTATTAGTTATTGCCAAATAGGAAAAAAAACTTAGAGGAAAAAAAAGTGAAGTTTCAACCTTCAAGTTAGGTAATTGATTGAAGGGTTTGAAATTAAGAACACAATTGAAATAACTAGCCTTTTGAAAAAGCATACATTTTTTTTAAGTAAATGACTGGACAAAAGGGAGAAAAAAGGAATTTGGGAAGCAAAGTAGTGTATCGTGAAAATAGATGGAGATCCAGAACCTGAAGTTCATCCTCTTGGGAGCATAACAGTCTTAGTAGTGGAGAGGGAATAAAATTAGTACAAAGAAGGTCCCAGGTCCTCAGAAAAGTAGGATCCAAAGTCTCCTCACAGAGTGGTAGGATGATGGGAATTGTTCCAGTGCTAAAGGAGAATATTCAAGGTTTAGAGGGACATTGGATGAATGTGATAGGTCATTAACTATGGAGAAATTGAGAAAATGCTGTACAGTAGCTAGAGTACAGTGAGAATTTATCTTAGGCACAAGAGTTTGGTATGAACATGCAAAACTTAGAGTAATATTTTAAGGTTATTTTTCTTTATAATTATTTATGTAATAAATAATCAGGATAAAAATGAAAGTATATTATATAAAAGACATTTGCATTTGTCTTTACAACACGATTATTTTTCTAGATCATTGAAAAAATATTATTTAGTAAAAAATCCACATTTATTTTGTTAGCTTGAAGAAACTAATTCTAACATAGCAATAAATCTTTTGTTGAACCTGTGTAATGTGAGAAACTACTGCTGATCTGCAAGGCGGCTTTTTTACTGAAGGCGATTTTTTTTCTAGTCAATAGCCCCAGTATTTTCCACTGTGTAATCCAGGAATGCACTATTTTAAGGCAGCCCAAATCTCTTCATTTTCTAAATGAACCTCATCTTAGACTACTGAGATCACTATATAACTAAGAATAAATGTTACAAATAGCAACAGAATGGTCACCAGTCTACAAATTTTGAGATCTTTCTTGGATATCTTCACAGAGAATTCTTTGCCTGGCTATTTACACTCAAATAAACAAGGCTGCATGTGTTCTTAAACTTCTTTTGAATTGGCAAAGATAGAGCTAAGTTGGAAAATCCAGGCAAGTTTCCAGAGCAAGTACATATTGTACAATACTAGAAAAAACATATGGGTAAAGTACTAATCCTAACAGCATTGGGAAATGAAGCTCATCTACTCACCCGTGGACCTCTCTTTCCTGAGGGACCTGGAATACCTGCTGGACCAGGTGGACCCTTGGAAAACAAATATCAAGGCATTAGACATGACTAGTAGACACATCTGTTTCCACTTCAGAGTAACTCTTTTTTTTTTCTGTCCCTAATTCCCTGATGCTGATGATTTTAAAGTAACATTAATGCCCTTACCCAAATCAGCAGGGGTGAACTGAAATTCAAGTGTCCTCTTTAATCTGGCCAGAAATGGCAGCAGGAGGTCCATGACTTATGGTTATAGCTACTATATCTGGTTTTTACTGAGACCATAAGTAGTAGTTCTGTGGGTAATTTTTACCTAAATTTACTTTTATTACGGAAGGAGAAATTCAATTTAGGATTTGAAGACCAATAACTATAGGTCTTTTCAAGCACATTTCAAAAGAGGATTTGCATTGAAAAATGAAAGCACTGGCCATTTTATGTTCTTTTAAAAGAACTGCATTAAGGACCTATGTAATGTGTTAACCTGTTATAATGAGATCCTTCCTGCATATGCAGTTATAAATCTGCCTTATACTAAATGTAGCACACCAGGGGGTCTCTAATAAAGTTAAATGACTTATAAAACAAAGCATGGAAGCAAAACCTGATAAGCTGTTACAAGTGTTTTGAGTTCTTTAAATGTTACTTTTAAAATAAGAAATAGGAAACTATTCCTTAGCTTTCTCAAATGGCACTCTGTGTTGCCTTTTATATTTAGCAATCAACTATAGAAGAATACATGTTCATTTGTGATACAATTGAACATGAATTCATTTATCTGTTCATTCATTTAATTGTTATCAAACACTGTTTGATGTGACATTGTTTTTGGTGTTTTTAGAGCATACACATATTTCATTTATTGCAGTAAAACTAGTAAAGGTTTTAAATTAGATGCATCAAAGATGAAATACTAACCTCATCACTAATAAGCAGTGTAACCTAATTCACCTCATTTCAAACGTCTATGTTTCTATTCTAATTCTCATAAAATAAAGAGATGACTCCAGCTTAAGTCATATGTAATTGACAACATATGACGTTTTTAACCTATAAAATTTAATTTCATATAGTTTGTGTCTATATCAAGGACAGGTACACCCAAGATTACATTGAGTTTGAAAAGAGAACAGGGAAAACAGATTGATGGGAGTCATTTTGACTAAAAAATCAAGGGAGGAATGAGTGAGTTATGTTGAAAAAAATAGCTATATAGAATTTTTTTCATTACCTTTTCTTCTTGATATTAACTATTCCTCAAAACTTCATTTTGTCTTCTGATATTCATTATATATTTCAAATTGCCCATTTTTTTCTTTTATTTTTTCTTCTTCTACCACCTAACAATAAAATGTTTCATGTATTTCCTGATATTGAGAGAAGAGCACTATTTCTATTCAAACCTAATCTGAGGGCATTCTTCCTGAGCTATTCAAATGTTTTCATAGCCATTATTGTATCACTAGCTTCCATTAAAAAATGTTTTCATATACTATCAAGAAAAATTTTTTTTCAAATTAGTTCTGGTTTTGGTGTTATAATAAAAAATTAGCAGCTGTTGATCTGAATTTAATTCCCCCCAAATATTTGACTAAGAAGGAGATATTGGAACTAAAAATGAAGATAATATATTTAAAAAATTTTCTAGGTTGGTTTAGTACCCTGTCATACTGCTTTGTGACAAAAGAAAATACTATTCCATTCACATTGTGAAGATAGTTAATATTACTATGACTTGAGTGTTTGGGTCTACTCAAAATTCATATATTGAAATCCTAACCAAAAACTTATGGTATCTGAAGGGGCCTAGGAAGATGACTAAGTAATATGGTGGGGCCTTCATGAATGAACTAAATACTACATTTAGTGTAAGGAAGATTTATAACTGCATATGCAGGAAGTATCTCATTATAAAGGCCCAGTGGGGTTCATTTGTTCCTTCCACCATTTGAGAACACAGTGAAAAGATGCTATCTGTGAACCAAAAAGCAGACCCTCACCAGATATCAAATCTGCCAACACCTTCATCTTGGACTTCCATAGTCACTAGAACTATAAGGGATAAATTTCTGTTGTTTACAAGTCCCCAAGTTTATAGTATTTTGTTGCAGAGGCCAAATGAACTAAGATGTATTTAAATTAAGTACTGAGGGGAAAATAAGGCATGTTTTATGTCATAATTAAAATATTTGAATTGTTTAATAAGCACTAAATAAAAAAAAAATTTCACAACTTTATAATTTTGTATTTACATGTCTTTGATAATAGATTATTAATAGGCATTTGGAAGAAATTAACAATATAATTTTATAGAATTTTTAAAATTTTTTCTATAAAATCTTTCACAGTGTTTGTTAGAGAAAGCACACTTGACTGAAAAGGAAAAGGAATGGCTTTTCATCATCCAATCTAAATTTAAATCATGTTTCAAATATTTACTAGCTGAATGACCTTGAATAGGTCAATTACCCTTTATAACCCTAAGTTTCTCATTTTTAACATATTGATTATAAAAATCTACTTTTTAGGATTATTGTGAGTTTTGAAGGTGTTGATTATAAAATAACTGTCACTGTGTCTGGGTATATAGGAGGTAACCAGTAAACTGTAATGCAGTTAACTTTTTTTAAAAAGGTGGGCATAGAGCATAGCAAGCACTCAATAAATGTTACTTGTATATTAACACATGTGGTAGGGCAAATGTATTCAATAGAATAGCACTTTTAAGAATGAGTAATCCCTGGTCAGGTAATTTTCAAAGTTCTGCATCTATTATTTCTTTTAAAATTCATTCATTTATTCAGTAAATATTATAAAGTTCCAAGCCCTCCTGAAGTTACAGTCTAGATTAAAAGACACACATTATCAGATAAACATATTACTACAGATTTTACTCCATTATATGAAGGGAAAGAACAGGCAACCAAGATGGAGATGAATATAGTGGACCTAATTTATACTGTAATGTCAGAGAAGGCTTCTCTGAGGAAATGTTTAGATAAACCTAAAAGATGAATAGGAATTAGAAACAGGGAGAAAATAAAATTCCAGAAAATAAGAATAAATGAAAGAGAGCATAAATAAAATTAAAATATCATTCTTTTACTGAAGAACTAGAAGAAAACTAATAGGGAAAGGGGGAAAATAGAACACAATGATGTTGCAGAGATAAGGAGGGACCATATCATATTTGCCTTTGTGGGTCAAGTACTGAGTTTTTAGTTCATTGTAAATGCTTCAATTCTCTGCCTCTGAAAACTGAAGTAGATAAATTCGGTGATGTGAACTGTGTTTTTAAAAGATCACTAGAGAATTTGGGTAAATGATGGAAGAATATGAACATTTTTCAAACTATACTCCTTTCCTCAAAATCAACTGAAAATAAAAAGCACCAAAGAAAGAAAACAGCATCTCATATGAAACAGAAAGAACCACAACCATGATCCACAAAATACAAGGATTATTTGTCACATACTAAGAAACTTTGTATTATGAACGACATGGAAAGATTATTTAAAAAGAAAAAAACCTCCTCAGACTCTATACCTTGTACAGACTACAGATAGTTCTAAAAGTTTATCAGAATTAAAAATCCATTGCAACAATCCTTTTATTATAATGATGACATTTAAGGGAATGGGAAAGCCATGGGAGAAATAATTCATTATCCAGTAAGGATTTAGTTCCAAAGAATCAAGATCAGGGAAGATATAAATGAAGAAGAAGAACCTATCAATTTTATGATCTACAACCAAATCCAACCTAAGGGATTTCTGGTCTTGAAGGGTGGTAAAAGAAAAGAAAAGCATAAATCATAATATCTCTTCTCAGAGAGTCTCTGGTACATAGGGTACAAAACAAATTATACATGGAAAATGAGAAGATACATGCCCTGAGAAGAAGACATAAAAAATACAGTACAATGGTGTTTAAGGCAGTAAAATCTGTTTGATTCTGTGTACTATTCTACTTGCCTTGGTCTCTCTCTGTACTATTCTGAAACAACCCAGATTATAGTTACCTTTATTTGAAAAAAATGTAATAACCATAAATTAATCACTGTGGGACCTACACATAGATATTATGAGAAGGGGAGAAATAGAAGGATATGAACATAAATTTAAAATAGAAGAAAACCATTCACCAGCAGAGAAATTACTTCATGTAACAGAAAGAATTCAATCATTTAGTTCATTATATTTTAAAAGAAGTTCAATGTGATATTCCTCTACAAAAAGATAGTTCAAAGATGAGTTACAAAATATTTTAAAAGTTCACCTTCAAAAAAGGATAAAAAGAATAAATAATTATGAAAGTGAACCAGAAATGCTTAAGAAAGCTATGAAAGAGCAAAAGACAAACCATTGTAGATGAAAATTATATCAAAAACTGATTAAATAAAATTGAAAATCAGTAAAGGAATATGGATATAGTCTAAATGAATTCACACAGAATGAAATGAAAAAGAGCAATCATGATGGTATGATTATACAGATGATAATAAATATAATCACAAATATGCAAATTGCATGACAAATATAGAAAAAATGTTTGAGGATATAATATAAAAATAATTTTCAGATGAAAAAAGTCCAAGGAAAAAATAGATACATAACTTAATAGGTTTAATCAACCTCAAAGATAATGAAACAATAGGAAAAATTATAACTGATGCCACAGAAATACAAAGGATTATTAGGGACTATTATGATAGTCCCATATAAACAAATTGGAAAACTTAGAAGGAATTGATGTATTTGTGGACACACATAATCTAACAAAATTGGACAAAGAAGACAAAAAACAAACACCTCAATAATGAGTAGCAAGATATGTGTAATTTCAAGGGAAAAAAAGAACTCTTCTAAACTGAGATCAGCATTATCCTAATATCAAAATGAAAGAACCAAAAGCAAAACCACAGACAAATATCCTGATGAACATAAATGCAAAAATTGTCAACAAAGCACTAATAAAATGAATCCAATCACATATCAAAATGCGCTATGATTAATGAGACTTACCCCAAGGATACA